AAAAACAAATATTATTTAGATTGGTTAGGTTAGAGTTAGTATATGAATATTTGGTCGCCGAAGGCGACCAGGACGCCGAGAAGCCGAGGCTTGAATAAACAATTACTATTTAGATCGGAGCTGTCCACAAAAACAAATATTATTTAGATTGGTTAGGTTAGAGTTAGTATATGAATATTTGGTCGCCGAAGGCGACCAGGACGCCGAGAAGCCGAGGCTTGAATAAACAATTACTATTTAGATCGGAGCTGTCCACAAAAACAAATATTATTTAGATTGGTTAGGTTAGAGTTAGTATATGAATATTTGGTCGCCGAAGGCGACCAGGACGCCGAGAAGCCGAGGCTTGAATAAACAATTACTATTTAGATCGGAGCTGTCCACTTAAACAAATATTATTTAGATAGGTTAGGTTATATAAATATTAATTTAGTAACCATATATTAATATTGTTTTTAAATAACTGGTTCCGAAAATTATTAAATTATTCAAATAGTACCCAAAACCGAATCAGAGCACCCCACTATCCACGTGGTCTTGTCTGTCTTACCCCTAGAGTGTATATAAATAATCGGAGGCGCGGAGGAAGAGCAGCCCCCACCCGCTGTAACAAAGCACAGGCATTATGAAAGCTGTAGCGGCTGAGGCTGGTCGCCAGAGGCGACCAAAAAGCCGAGGTTGCGGAGGCTTGAATAAAATGCCTGTGCTTTGGTACGCAAGGGTGGAGGGGCTGCATTTCCCGTAGCGCCGGAGCTGTCCACAAAAACAAATATTATTTAGATTGGTTAGGTTAGAGTTAGTATATGAATATTTGGTCGCCGAAGGCGACCAGGACGCCGAGAAGCCGAGGCTTGAATAAACAATTACTATTTAGATCGGAGCTGTCCACATAAACAAATATTATTTAGATAGGTTAGGTTATATAAATATTAATATACTAACCGTATATTAATATTGTTTTTAAATAACTGTTCAACTGAAACTCGAAATCGAAAACAAAATCGGATTTAAAATCGGATTCAAAATCGAATACTAAAATAATCGATTTTTTCACTTTCACAGAATAGATTATTTTTCACATCTCTATTCTCTACTATTCATTGTTTAAAGTATAAACGCAATCGGCCATTTCGAATTTGGATTTTGCCAGAACAGTGTGTGTTCACAGTATTCAAGTGAAAAATATCAGTTAAAAGCCGTTACTTTTTAGATTTTTTTTATTTTGGTTTCCTAAGCCCAAAATTTGTGGGGGTGATTACTACACCCCCCCCCTCCCCCTCCCCCGCACCCCAAATTTAGGGACTTCTCTCTCACATCTTTACCCAATATTTTGTTACATTTGTTAAATAATTATATGTGAAGACAATGTACTCTTAGAATAAACTACTATACTAAAAAAGTTAGTATACATGTTCCTCACATATTTACAAATATCGAAACCTTAGAATATTAACATTAAAGAGTAATAAAAATATTAAAAAAACACAACAAAACAGTGTGTGAGATACAAAAAAAATATATAATTTATTCTTCCTATTTCAAATTGTCGTCTACTAAGACCTTTTATAGTACGTATTATAGTATTTTATCCACCACTATTGTATGATTATCACAAGATTGTTTAAAAAAAGACATTATACCTTATAATAATAATATCTAAAAGATTCAAAACTGTATTTTGGATATCTTACGTGTGATTATGAAAATTGCGAATATGTCCCGGTACGTAATTGACTAATTAGATGCGCAGAAGTAGTTTTTTAGGTCTTGGCGCATGCGTGAAAATATTATGGCGTGAACTTTCCCCGAACACGTCAAAATTTTGACAAGTTGGCACGGTGCCAACATAGATAATAATATAATATAGGTAAATAATACAGAGACACAAATTCAAGCTAGGATAAATTAAATAAAAATATTTTATTATTTCCATACATAACACGTATCTCGATTTTTAAAAAAAAAAGTTGGTAAGCGTTGGCTTATTTGTTGCTTCTTTGATTTTTCTTTATGGACAAGTGTAAGCTGTTGGCTAAAGCAGGCCGCACACCAGCCATACATTTGTAACTCGATAATTGTGGCGCTACATTTGAAACGCGACACATTTATCGCCCCCATACATTTGTACGTGAGCACGCACACCGAGGAAACATTTGTGGCGGGCGCACTTTGTGGCGAGACGTTGTCCGCGCTACACGAATTCAAGATCGAACACGTTCGTTTTTTGTGTCGCGTTGGTTTGCAAAAATGAAAGACAACATTGAATTTTACGTTGAGTTTATTGCAGAGGTTGAAAAAAACCCTGTATTATACAATCACACGCTCAATGATTATAGTAACAGACGGATTACAGAAATTATTTGGACTAAGATTGGCGAAAAATTCAATGAAAAGAGTAAGTACCTACCTTTCTTTGTACTTAATCGTGCTACACTGTGTAATTATTTTGCCATGACACCAGCCCGTATGGTTTTAAGAAGTAATTACACAAATAATTTCGATTTTCTGTAGCATCGATTAAACGGATGAACCCAATAACGTCTTTTTTTTCTCATTAATCGCCACATCAAGAAATCTTCGTCATCAGACGATGATGTCGACATTCTCAAAGCGGTGCCACGCTACAACTGTGCTTCCGATGTGCGCATATACAATACATTTGTATATGCATACAATTGTAGCGCAACGATTGTGGCGACGTAAATACCGTAAATAACAAATGTATGCCTGGTGTGCGGCCCTACTAACTTTAAGACATTAGTAAAATATATCTGGAAAGCTCTCGCTACATATTATGCCAATTATATATTTATATATGTTAGTCGCGAATCCCACAAACCGGAATCATTGTTCTAATCACCTTGAGAATGCCATAGTTCCTGTTTCTTTGTCGCTGCAATATAGAAGATGCATTTTCACATAATATAATATACTATAAGGGGCGAACATATATTCGAGGGAAAAATACTTTTAAAAATATTGGTCCTATGATGAAAATTACAAGAATAAAAAATAATAACAAAAACTGATCTATGCCTGATTTTGGTTTTGACTTTTGAAATTTAAATATTTAATTTACATCAAACATCTGTTAGCGCAGCTGTTCAAAATAAAAGGTGAAAATTTGTGACCGCGGCTTCACGTATTTTTGGTTAAAATATTCTTATTCTAGTTAATTCAAAATAGTGAATGACAAGACAACTAAAATAAATATATTTCGAGTAATGTTAAAAATATATAAATATCTCTATATCTCCTCTCATTTTATGCTATGCCTACCGTTTTATGCCTATAGGAAGTAACTAGTTGCCGCTACATAATTAAGAATACGTATCTAAGTTAATCTGTATTAACTTTCTACAATTATATTAAAATAGAATTAGGCCATTCACCTCTTTTACCTTTATGTATATATCGTCTGTGTTTATTTACGTCAAACGTCATGTAACAGCTGCTAAAAACAAAAGCATATTTGTTATCAAGAATAATTTCATTCTTAGCTGCCGTGCCTACGTGACGAAGAATCCTTTGTTGTTTTACATCTGGGCTATCCGACCAATTTACATACATTGTTTTCGTCCGTGCATAATTCATTACGAAATGGTACTCCTAAAATTGGTTGCGTAATATCGTACTACGCAATTTGTTTTTGCACTATCACTACGCAATTTCTTATAAGAATAATACCAAAGCCTATTAAAATATCACTAAATTACGTCAAGTATATTAAAATTACAAATGATAACGATAAATCCGTTTGTTTTTACAATAACAAACAAGTTTTATCGTATTTATATCATACTAAAAATAACAAGCAGCCACATAAAGATAATCCTGTTTATTTCAATATGAGTCGTGAAGTAAGAAATAGCTTTGTTGTGACGCGTTCTTTATTTTGCCGCATTTTAACTCCACCTCCTTGTTTTCGTTGTTTTTTTTCACGCAACTCAAGCAGCCTAGCGATAGGCCCGTATAACAAAAATAAAGCGTGATACACATGAACGGTTAATACGTTATAATATAAATAACAGACTATTAATTAATTAACAGATTATTAATTAATTAACAGATTATTTGATCATAAAAGTAGAACTAGGATAATATGATTAAAAGTAATTAATAAAAAATATGGTTGTCTGTAAAGTAGGTTTACGGACGATAGTTCAACGTGCCAACGTCATAACAAAACATTGATGATATGATTTAATACTTTTATTGAATGAAATTGATGAATTTTACTTTTATTGAGACTCTTATATTTATATAATAATCCTATCTTTACAAAATATGTTGAATGGCCTATATATATATACTATAATTTAAATCACGAATAAAACAATCCCGCTTTGTGCCTAGCAAAGTTCTTAAAATTTAATAATATATTTAGTATTGAAATTAATTTAGTAAACTATCATGATTAGGATATCGGTGATTTACTTAATACGTTTCTTTGTCATTACTAACACGTCATCTTAAGCTATAAAGAAGAAAGACAAGCAATTAACTAACTACTAATGATTATCAAATTTGTATTCACTAATTTTAGCTTAAATAGTTATAAATTATTTAATTTCGAACAGCCGTTGGGTGAATAAAACTCCTTAATTCCCCTCTCCGCGCATGCGTATTGCCCCGCCGCCATTATCCTATATAAGCTCAGAGCGCCACCAACGTGACGTAGTCGAAATCGAAAGGTGTAGGTGCGAATAATGGAAAGGTGGCGTCCATATTTTGTTTTATTAATCGATTATCACCGGAGCTAGCAGTGCGAGAGTCGACGTTAAAGTCGTGAAAGTGAAGCAGTGTGAGTTTCGACGTGTCATCCGCGTAGATCGACAGTGGTTCGAGGCCGAGATAGGCGGAATTGCCTGGTCGACGGAGAAACGGCAACCATCTTGTTTTTGTGTAAGTCGTGCAATAGCGCTCTGCTCCGCGGACGCCCAACTACCGCTAAAGTGATAAGTGAACTCCGTATTGAAGTGTTAAGTGAAGTGTGCGCGATGAACTGCCAGGCACAACAGCAACGGAGTCGCAGGCGCGTGGTTCGCAGCGCGCTGCCCATGGCCTTGGCTCGGCGTGAGCGTGAGCGGCGCGATGAGCGCTATGCCGCGGCCAAGTGGGAAGCATCGCCTCATCCTACCGCTCTGCCGATTCCGCCCAACCACTGGTTCCGCGATGGCCGCTGCCGACTGGAACCCGATCACGCTCTGCCGCTCAAACTCATCCTCAACGTCACCTGTGCATCGGCGTAATCCCCAGAGACTCTAGTAACTAGTTAAGTGCCCGGGGGTGTAGTCTTTCGCTGAACTGCGGTGGTAGACTACACCACCGATTCTCTTGTGCTAAGTTTTTTTATTTGATGACGCGATAATCGCCGTTCGAAGCCGCGCGCACCTAAGCGACTTGGCGGCGTCAAAATTCCGGCGTTAGGTATTATTTTTGTGAAAATTTTAGTAGTTAAGAGTAAGCGTAGCGCGGTCGCGTCGGTATGGTGCCCCCAAACCCTTTAAAATTAGAAAAATGTAAAAAAAAATATAGCGGGCGCGGGTAAGCACTGTAGCGGGGCGATGGCGCAGCGTAGCCCGGCGCTTCGCCCCTCGACACCTTCGCCTTGCAACTCCAAACGGTCCGCGGCGCTACTGTGATGTTTGTTTGCTGCTGCGCTGACGCCTTGCCCTATTTGTTATAGGATTGAGTTTTATCTTGACTGAAGTCTACTTAAGTTTTAAATTTTCGGGCGAGACGTACTGCTCGGCGGCGCGCCCGGCTAGTCTTGCCGTTGCAAGGATGGAAACGTTGCATTTCTTTTATAAATGAGGCGTTATATTATATTTTTTGATTGAAGGTTTGAGGCTCGAACGGCCGGGCCTTGGGGTCAACCCGCTAGTCGTATCGTTTTATTTATCGAGACCAATGTATTTTTATTTGTAACATACAGTCTCGCTGCAGCGGTTGGTCCACAATTTAATTGAAGAACTGCAAAGTGCATTGTAACCCGCTGGAAGAGAGCTTTAAAAAATAATTAAGCGATGACTGCATGTCCTTAATTCTAGTTGTAGTATAAAAATTAAACGATACGGTGAAGAAAAGCAAATGTTATCAAATTGGAAGATTATATATGTTTGTACAGAGAGTATATTGATCTCAAGCTGCGGGCGTCTGTGGCCTGTCGTAGAGCTTCTGTGATGTACAAAAAAAAGTATATTTGGAATTTTACAAGTTTTTTATAATATTAGTTTGTAATGTATACTTTTAAGTGAAGATAGTGACGTGGTGGCGTCGTTACCACGTCTGGAGTCGCTCGCAGCATCCCAGTCCTTACCTTTTTCCCATCCTTCAGTCCTGTCCAGTCCCAGGGCTCTTCGGAGCCCGCCAAATATTTCTATGTCTCAAACGACTAAACGTACCAAACCACATAGTGGTTAACTTTTTTTCAACTCAAGGTGAAGAAAGAAGATAAGTTCAAGACGAAGAAAGAATATTGATCTTCAAGATGGACGATGCCAGTGAAGTCAAGAAGGAAAAGGTGGGCCAACATATCTGATGGTAAGATTTCATTTTCCATTCATCACAATTTAAGGTTCGTTCCGATACTCCTCCGAAACGGTTTGACCGATTCTTATGAAATTTTATATTCATATTCAGTAAGTCAGAATCAGCTACTATCTATATTTCAAACCCCTAATAGATAAGTCCTTCCCAAATTTTATTTTTTAGAACTTTTTTTTTTTATTTTTTTATGTTACAACATACAAAAATACATACAACCTCTAATTTTCCTTATTGTTATATATATAAATTACGTGTCACGTTGTTTGTCCGCTATGGACTCCCTAAACTACCGAACCGATATCAATCAAATTTGCACACCGTGTGTAGTTTGATCCAACTTAAAAGATAGGATAGCTTACATCTCAATTTATGCCCGCAATATTATTTTAGTGCAAAATATTTGCTTGTTATTCTATATTCTATCTTCCTTCAGTATTGTCGATCGGAACCCACGGGTAAAGGCCTCCTCCAGCTTTTTCCAACTGACTTTATGGCTCACTTTCTCCATTCGTTTCCTGCTACCGCTTCTATTTCTTCTATCCACCTTTTTTTTTGGGTTTCAAACATAGCTTATACAAATTTGAATGTGTTCAAATCTAAAGTAATAAAACATTAAAAATTTTCATTTCTATTTAAATAGATTATTGTATCATTACATAATACAAAATGTATTCTCTCATTAAAGAGCAGTGTTGGCCTAGTGGCTTCAGCGTGCGAGTCTCATACCTGAGGTCGTAGGTTCGATCCCCGTCTGTGCACCAATGGACTTTCTTTCTATGTGCGCATTTAGCATTTGCTCGAACGGTGAAGGAAAATATCGTGAGGAAACCGACATGTCTTAGGCACAAAAAGTCGACGGCATGCGGTCAGGCACTGGAGGCTGATCACCTACTTGCCTATTAGATATAAATGATCATGAAACAGATTCAGAAATCTGAGGCCAAGACCTAAAGAGGTTGTAGCGCCACTGATTTATTTATTAATAATCATTAATAGAAAAAAATATTATAATCGACTTAATAGACGATTTTTAAAAACTCTAAACTCTTCCTAGTCAATAATTATAAACCTTGATTGTCATAGAAAAGGTGGTTTCCTATACAATTCCAGATTAATTGTTGGCACAGGCAATTTATTCCCATGTCTACTTCGACAGTGGTCCATCCTCGCCTTAAAAATATTTGTTTTTATGAACAAATAAGGACTTTTCTTAAATATACAGAGAATAGATAAAATTTTGAGCTTCTTAAACAAAGGTACGCAACTGTGTAGATAGTTTGCTACACAATTTTCTCTAATACATTTCTTTTGAGCCTTAAATACCCTATTTACTTCGACTGAATTTCTCCAAACTATAATTCCATATCTAAGTATATAAGAAACATGATAAGCAGCTAATACCGTATCATAGTAAACAGTTTCTCAGTAAAACTACTTTACGCCCGAACCCAATAATCAATCCACAATCTCAGATTGTTATAATCATTTTTACGTTTTAACGAATGACTTTATAAAGATATTACACTATATATTAAGATATCATATATCTACATATTAGCTCATACAGTTTCTTGTCTCTATTTCTAAAAGTTTTTTTATGTAGTGTGCTGATCTAGTAGTAAGTATACTTACGCCCGAACCCAATAATCAATCCACAATCTCAGATTGTTATAATCATTTTTGATAATCAATGTAAACCAAATAAAGTAAATAAAACCGTACAAATAACATTGAAATATAACAAACAGTTTTTTTAATTATTTAAAAAACTGGTGTAAGGGAGCGTTCAAGTATTACGTAACGTGTTGTGGGAGGGGGGAGGGGTCCTTTTGTAAAACGTTACGATGCGGGGCGGGGATTAAATTACGCGTTATTGTTAATATTTTTTTCGACTTACACCACATAATAGTAACTAAAGAATCACTAGGTGGTCACGAAATGTTTTACTATACTTGGGTACAGTACTGTACGTGGGTACTGGAAAACGTTACGGCGAGTAACATGGGGGGGTTTAATAATCTCCAAGAATTGCGTTACGTAATACTTGAACCTCTCCCTAAATTAAAATCTGTTAAAATAATTAACTGTTGAAATCGAGCTTTCGTCAACTGTCATTTTCATACAAAGGTCTCTCCACAGACACCGATACGACCTCCCACGGATAGCTTGTATCGACAAATGGATCCTTCGATTGGTTATTGGCACACTTGTTACAACATTAGGATTAAGATTACTATCTCAGATGATGGATTATGGATTCAGTTAGGTCATTGGGTTCGGGCGTTAATACATAAACGAATCTACCTACTTTTCTGTAATTTTGCAATATGTGCTTTATATTTGCGTGTATTTTGCAGTATACACCCAAAATACGCACTCGTTCATTATGTCTAATTTATTGTTTTTATTTTGTCATATTTATTTGTAGATTATTTGATTTCATCCAGTTGATGGCGTCGTCTATATATTTAAAAAGTAATATTAAATCTTTTTCGTTTTTACATTTTGTTATGTGTAGTGTCATCAGCAAGAGCATGCAGTTCTGGTATTTCAGAAGGTTAGTCCTAGCTGTGGGCTGGCGTACCCATCAGCACATTGAAGGTAACTTGGCACGTAACAACTTTATTAAGTGGATCATAAGCTGGTTATAGCCCACAGAATTAGGAATAAATAAGGACGGATTCATGAGTGAGTAAAGAGGGTACGCACTGTACATCCTAAGATAGTTGCAATTTGTAAATGTGAGCACCATGTATCTACATAATAATATCTGCTGCATTTTTTTATAACACCATGCGCCTATTTTACTTTAGTATAGTATTTTTTTTGTTCTAGGTACATGGTCTTAACATATATTGACGACTCATTGGTCTAGTGGTTAGTACCCCTGACTGCGAATCCATGGAATCCATCCATCCATCCAATATTATTTTATTGCAATATATTTGTTTATTATTTGACAGAATTCTAACAGATGGCGCTGTGTTGAAAGTACCAACGTTTCACATATTAAGCTACAATTTAATGGCATAACCACCAAAAAAGCATGGTGGTCCCCATGACTGGTGTTCCCCTACCGTTTCCCTTGAATAGTTTACTACTATGTAATATAACAAAAACCTTAGCCACAGCAACGTTTGGCCGGTTTGCTAGTTGTATTATATACTTATCTATAATATCCTTAACGTGGTGTTTAGGGGCTATAATTTACATACGAATGTTTGCCGCAAACGTTTCAGACTTTTCATCTGTGGTACCTGAAGACTTATGATTTACGGGTATATCCAGTGGCAATATATATTTTAGCGCTGAGATGGCGAGGAGAGGATTGGGCGAAAACTTATGAGGCTGAAGGCATATTTTATCTGTCATAATAATAAATAACGTGATTTAACTTTTTTTAATACATTAATTCAATAATCTGTTGCATTTTTATTTAATATTCGTGAACAGTTGTCCCAATATCCACGTTGAGTTCGAGGTAATAATAAAAATATTGTACCATTATTTAATTAATAAAGTTTACATGCTATTTCAAATAAACGTTGCTAATTAGCAAATTTTGGTACTGTTTTTGAAGTTATACCTCTTTTGGCGAGTTAGGGAAATATGATAGGTAAATTTTATTCTATTGTCAGTGTCGTTTCTACAAAATTTTTGAAAAGATTTTTATCTTGTTACGCCTAAGAAATATAACTGC